GGTGTTACACCCCCCCACACACACCCCTATAGCGACGTCCCTGGCCGGACATAAATGAAGTCAACCACTTACTTAAGGTTACGTCACCACCGCTATCTTCCCTCGGACAGGTACGATCCTGCCTTATAAACACCTTAATACAAAGAAAGCAACAGGGATAGATAAAATTCTCGCCTCGTTTTTAAATAGCACCGTCGTTTTAAATAGGCACCGTCATCCCTATTCAAAGCATGATTACTCATATTTATATGCAACGCTTCTGGGCAAAGTCTTTGACCATAGCGATTGTTTGTGGTAATTACTTTAGAGTTTTCCCACGCAATCTCGTGCTTGGTGTAACATACATGTTCGGCTAAAGCTGATTTTCCCTTGTCTAAAGTTGAAACAGCCTTTTGATTCTTTTAGCCGTGTTCCAAACTGGCGTTTAGACTGACCCAAATACTCTAGATCTTTCTCGCAGTCACCGCATGGTATAGAATATACAGCATGAGTTTTCGGATTTGTTTTAACAGGATCTTTTGGGTTTGCGAAAATATGGCCTAAAGTCAAATAAGGTTTTAAGGCAACCTTAATATTACAATTACTTAAGATTCTCTTGATTGGTTCTGTGACACCTTGAATGTATGAAACTATTGCATAACCCTTAACAGAGGTACCACCCTTGAGTTATTTTTGTTCCTACAAACAGGCGATCCAGGCTATCATTAAGAAAACGTTTTGGGTTATCGTTTTCCCCTAAAGTATTTAGAAAATTTTCACGTCCATTAGCTTGAGAATCACTGTTTGACGGCAAGGATTCAGCTCTTTGAAGCAAAGTTTTTGCTACGGATCTTTTATGGCTTACTGGGTGATGAGAGTCGTATGACAAGTATTTGTCTGCGTGTGTGGGTTTGCGATAAACATCAGTCTTTAACTTCCCTTCGACAGTTCTGTGTACATTCAACTGAATCTAAAAAAGCTAAATGTCCATTTATCTCACGTCCTACCGTGAATTGGATGGACGGCTCAATAGAATTTAAATGTTGCAGCAGCATATCAATTTCATTTCTAGAGACCGCAGAGATGACATCATGATCATCGACGAAACGTTTCCAAAACGATAGAGATACCGGAACAGAGGCTAAAGCTCTTAATATATCTTCCATTACTAAATTAGCAATTATTGCCGATACTGGTGACCCCATCGCTGTTCCAAAAACTTGTTGATAATAACAGCCCTCAAACACAAAGTACAGGTATGTGGCGTTGAGACAAAAAGACAGAAGATCAATAATATCTTCTACATGCAGGCAAGGATGTTCTTTGTAACAAAGTGGTAGGGATCCTGTCTTAGTCTTTTTGTCGCAACCTTGATGGCAAGATCAACTGGGATGTTTGTAAACAAGGAAACGACATCAAATGATATCAACACTTGATCTGCTTTAAGAGTTTTACCTCTTACAAATTCTACAAAATGAGAGGAATTTTTGACAGTGTTTTCGATATTCCCCTCCACAGGGGACAACATTTTCGCCAAAAAACTTGAAACTCCATATGTAGGAGAGTTCACAAAATTAAGACACAATAGGTCTCAATGCAATATCCAGTTTATGGATTTTCGGTAAACCATAGAAACGCGGAGATTGTCCATCACTGCTGTATAACTTTTCATATGTAGCCTTGCTGATAATATTACATTTCTTCAAAAGAAGTAACTTGGCGTTTAAACCTCTTTGAGTCTTTCCAGTAGGATCAGACTTGAGAATGGAATACTGTACGTATTTCTGTTATTCAACAGTGAAAGAGCCCTCTCGCGATAGTCATGTTTGTCCATAACAACAACACAATTGCTTTTGTCCGCTGAAAGAATAACCCTGTTCAGATCTTTTTTAAGAGCAAGTGATGCTTTGAAAACATTCGAATCAATGTTTTTTGGAGGTATTTTGGCACGTCTAAGAATGCTACTGACCTCAGCTCTTACAAATCGCTTAGCATATCCTCTAGTGGAAAAATTCCTTCTTCAACTGAAGCAATGATTTTGGCTGTTGGAATTCTGTTAGGTACAACCGCAAATTTTAGGCCGTGTTCAAGACCCTTCCTTTCCAACTCACTTAGCTCTTTAGATGAGAGGTTTTTAACCCATCTCTTCTTAAGATTCGAACTCGATTTATCAGATGGTTTCGTTCCAATCAGACGCAGCAATTTTTTGTCATGCTTCTCTCTCTGTTTGATCGATTCTTTGCGAAATTTCGAACGACAAAACTCTTCGATCCATAGGACTTCAGAGCAGTCGATCAAATCAGAAAGCTCGTCGAGTAAACGATGACAATCAGACGCTGTATAGACTGATGACAATCGTTTATACGCAACCTCAGGAAAGAAAAACCAGTATTTTCCATTAGCTTGTATCCCTTTTTACTCCGTATTGGAGGTTTGAATCGCAAGCTGAACGGTAAAACTTTGTTTTCCTTGCACCGATGATTGAAATACAAATGACTACGA